GGTTGGGGGGGCTTTGGGGTGGGGATCACGGGATTTTTTGGGGGGCGGGGGGGGCTGGGGGGGGCTCAGGAGGGTTCTGGGCAGGCTCTGGGCTGGGATCACAGGAGGTTTTTTGGGCTGAGGGGGCTCTGGGGGGGCTCGGGGGGCTTTGAGGGGCTGAGGGAACCCTGGGGGGCTCGGGGGGCTCAGCCCCCCACTCTCACCAGTAGTCCGGCCTGGGCACGGCCCTGTCCCGGTACAGCTCCTCCAGCTCCGCGTTCTTCCTGCGCAGGAACTGCGGGGGGACGGGTGTGGGGACCACGGGGAAGGGGGATCCCACAGGGAACGGGTGTGGGGATCCACGGGGAAGGGGGATCCCACAGGGAATGGGTGTGGGGGATCCATGGGGAAGGGGGATCCCACAGGGAACGGGGATCCCACAGGGAATGGGGATCCCCTGTTGATCCCAAAGGGAAAGGGGCAGTGGTGGGATCCCCTGTCGATCCCAAAGCCCGCAGGGACCCCAGGCCGGTCCCAAAGCCCCCAGGGACCCCCGGCCGGTCCCCGCTCACCTCGCGGTCGGGGATGACGGAGCTCTGCCTGCTCACCAGGGCCCCGATCTGGCTGCTCCTGGGCCGCGACTGGAAGTAGCGCTCGGATTCCTCGGCGGGCAGGCGGCGCACGGAGCCCTCGATCCGCACCTGGGGCAGCCCCCAGCCCTCGATTTTCCCCCCAAAATCGCAGCCCCCCCCAGTCTCACCCCAAGCCCCCCGGCCGCGGGACCCCCCTCACCTGCCGGCAGAGCGGCTCCCAGTAGAAGACGAGGGAGGCGAAGGGGTTGGAGTCCTGGGGACAGGAGGGGGACGCTGGGTCCGGGACTGGGACGTGCTCTTGGGGTTGGGTTCTTGGGGTTCGTTGGGGTTTGTTGGGGTTTGTTGGGGTTTGTTGGGGTTTGTTGGGGTTTGTTGGGGTTTGTTTATTGGTGTTGGGGTTCGTTGGGGTTTGTTGGGGTTTGTTTATTGGGATTTATCGGGATTTGTTTATTGGGATTTATTGGGATTTATTTATTGGGATTTGTTTATTGGGATTTGTTTATTGGGGTTGGTTTATTGGCATTGACTGGGATTTATTTATTGGGATTTATCAGGATTTGTTTATTGGGATTTACTGGGATTTATTTATTGGGATTTGTTTATTGTGGTTGGTTTACTGGGATTTATCGGGATTTGTTTATTGGGGTTTATTTATTGGGATTTGTTTATGGGGGTTGGTTTATTGGGATTTGTTTATTGGGATTTATTGGGATTCATTTATTGGGATTTATTTTTGGGATTTGTTTATTGGGGTTGGTTTATTGGCATTTACTGGGATTTATTTATTAGGATTTATTGGGATTTATTGGGATTTACCCCAAAATTCCCCCTCCCCCAGCCCTCACCAGCTCCAGGAGTTTGGGATTTATCGGGATTAATTTATTGGGATTGATTCATAGGGGTTTATCGGAATTTGTCAGGATTTATTTATTGGGATTTATCAGGATTTATTGGGATTTCTGGCGTTTCTGGTGTTTGTGTGTCCCCAGCCCCCACCAGCTCCAGGAATTTGGGATTGATTGGGATTGATTTACCAGGATTTCTCAGGATTCATCGGGATGGATTTACAGGGATTTATTGGGATTGATTTCGGGGATTTATCAGGATTGATTTCTGGGGATTTCTCAGGATTCATTGGGATGGATTTACGGGGATTTATCGGGATGGATTTATGGGGATTTCTCAGGATTGATTTACGGGGATTTATCAGGATTGATTTCTGGGGATTTCTCAGGATTTATTTCTGGGGGCTCATTGGGATTGATTTATGGGGATTTCTCAGGATTTATTTATGGGGGTTCATTGGGATTGATTTCTGGGATTCCTGGGGATTCCCGGGATCTCTCAGGATCTCTCAGGGTCTCTGGGGATCCCCGGGACCCCCGGGACCCCTCAGGACCCCGTGCCCTCACCAGCTCGCGGCCCTTCCTGCTCTCGTAGTTGCTGAAGAAGCGCAGCCCGTCCGGCCCCAGCCCCTTGAGCAGCACCATGCGCGCCGAGGGCCGCCCGTCCCTGGGCACCGCGGGGACAGCGGCGTCACACACGGGGGGACAGTGACGTCACACACAGGGACAGTGACGTCACACACATGGGGACAGTGACATCACACACATGGGGGGACAGTGACGTCACACGGGGACAGTGACGTCACACGGGGGGACAGCGGCGTCACACGGGGACAGTGACGTCACACGGGGACAGCGACGTCACACGGGGGGACAGTGACGTCACACGGGGGGACAGTGACGTCACAGGGGGACAGTGATGTCACACGGGGGGACAGTGACGTCACACACATGGGGATAGTGACGTCACACGGGGGGGACAGTGACGTCACGGGGGGGACAGTGATGTCACACGGGGACAGCGGCGTCACACACAGGGGGACAGTGACGTCACAGGGGGACAGTGACGTCACACACAGGGGGACAGTGGCGTCAGACACGGGGACAGTGATGTCACACACATGGGGATAGTGATGTCACACACGGGGACAGTGATGTCACACGGGGGGACAGCGACGTCACACACATGGGGATACTGACGTCACACATGGGGACAGTGACGTCACACACAGGGGGACAGTGACGTCACAGGGGGACAGTGATGTCACACACACGGGGACAGCGACGTCACACGGGGACAGGGGACAGCAGTGTCACACACGGGGACAGTGATGTCACACATGGGGACAGCGGCGTCACACACAGGGGGACAGTGACGTCACACGGCCACCCCTGTGTGCCGCCCCCGTGTGCCACCTGTGTCACCCCTGTGTCACCCCAATGTCACCCCACTGTCACCCCAGTGTCACCACTGTGCTCCCCTCCCCCCCGCCTCCCTCCCGGCTCAGCTCCCGCGGCCGGATCCGCGCCCCGGGCACGCTGAGGGGCGCGGAGCCCGCGGGAAACGGAAATCGCAGTTTAATTTAAAAGCTCCAGAGCAATAGAATCTATGATACAATGTACACTGTACACCCGCGCGGGGAGGGAGGGGAAAGGGGAATACAGAACGGAAAGGGGGAAAAGGGGAAAATAAAAAATAAGGGGAAAAGGGGAAAATAAAAAATAAGGGGAAAATAAAAAATAAGAAGGGAATAAAAATAAGGGAAAAAGGGGAAAAAAAAATAAGAAAGGAAAAAGGGGAAAAATAAAATAAAGGAAGGAAAAGGGGAAAAAGAAAACAAGGGAAGGAAGAAGGGGGAAAAGTAAGGAAAAATGAAAAAATAAAAAATAAGGGAAAAAGGGGAAAATAAAAAATAAGAAAGGAAAGAGGGGAAAAATAAAATAAAGGAAGGAAAAAGGGGAAAATAAGAAATAACGGAAGGAAAAGGGGAAAAAGAAAAAAGGGAAGGAAGAAGGGGGAAAAGTAAGGAAAAATGAAAAAATAAAGGGAAAAAGGGGAAAATAAAAAAATAAGAAAGGAAAAAGGGGAAAATAAGAAAAGGAAAAAGGAGAAAAAGAAAAAATAAGAAAGGAAAAAGGGGAAAAATAAAATAAAGGAAGGAAAATGGAGAAAAAGAAAAAATAAGAAAGGAAAAAAGGGAAAAATAAAAAATAAGGAAGGGAAAAGGGGGAAATAAGAAATAAGGGAAGGAAAAAGGAGAAAAATAAAAAATAAGAAAGGAAGAAGGGAGGAAATAATAAAGAATAAGAAAGGAAAAAGGGGGAAAAAAGAAAAAATAAGGAAGGAAAAGGGAAAAAGAAAAAATAAGGAAGGAAAAAGGGAAAAAGAAAAAAAAAGAAGAAAAGGGGAAAACAAAAAGTAAGGGAAGGAAAAAGGGAAGAAAGGAAAAAGGGGAAAAATAAAAAATAAGGGAAGGAAAAAGGGGAAAATAAAATCAAGGAAGGAAAAAGGGGAAAAATAAAATAAAGGAAGGAAAAAGGGGACAACGTTGCTCGGAAAGAAAAACTGGGAGAGGAATTGGCCGTGAGGGGGGAAAGGGCAAGAGCGGAGTTTGGGAGAAACCGGGAGGAAATAGATAAAAAAGCACTCATGATCACGGGCCGGGCCGGGCTAAGGCAACGAGCTCCTCCCGCCGGAACCGGGACCGGGGCTGCCGGGGAAACCGGGACCGCCGGGACCGCCGGGGCTGCCGGGGCCGCCGGGGCTGCCGGGGAAACCGGGACCGCCGGGGAAACCGGGACCGCCGGGGAAACCGGGGCTGCCGGGGAAACCGGGGCTGCCCGGGAAACCGGGACCGCCGGGGAAACCACCGGGGAAACCGGGACCGCCGGGAACCCCGGGACTGCCGGGGAAACCGGGACCACCGGGGAAACCGGGGAAACCGGGACCACCGGGGAAACCGGGACCGCCGGGACCCCCGAGGCTGCCCGGGACCGCCGGGACCGCCGGGGAAACCGGGACCCCCGGGGCACGGCCGGGGCTGCCGGGGAGCGGGACGCTTAAATACAAAGGAGGAATGTGCTGTGCGCCCCCGCGGGGGCTGGGGCACCCCGGGGGGAGCTGGGGTACCCCGGGGGGGGCTGGGGTACCCCGGGGGGACACCCCTAAACCTGGGGGGTCACAGGGAGGCTCTGGGTCACCCCCTAAACCTGGGGGGTCACCCCTGAACCTGGGGGGTCACAGGGAAGGGTCTGGGTCACCCCCTAAACCTGGGGGGTCACCCCTGAACCTGGGGGGTCACAGGGAAGGGTCTGGGTCACCCCCTAAACCTGGGGGTCACCCCTAAACATGGGGGTCAGTCTGAGTCACCCCCTAAACCTGGGGGTCACCCCTAAACCTGGGGGGTCACCCTTAAACCTGTGGGGTCACAGGGGGACTCTGGGTCACCCCCTAAACCTGGGGGTCACCCATAAACATGGGGGGTCACCCCTAAACCTGGGGGTCACCCCTAAACCTGTGGGGTCACAGGGAGAGTCTGAGTCACCCCCTAAACCTGGGGGTCACCCCTAAACCTGGGGGGTCACCCTTAAACCTGTGGGGTCACAGGGGGACTCTGGGTTCACCCCCTAAACCTGGGGTCCACCCCTAAACCTGGGGGGTCACAGGGGAGGGTCTGGGGGGCTCTGGGTGACCCCGTGAACATGTGGGGTCACAGGGGAGCTGTGGGTGACCCCCTAAACTTGTGGGGCTCACAGGTGGGGCTCTGGGTCACACCCTAAACTTGGGGGTCACCCCTAAACCTGTGGGGTCCCAGGGAGGCTCTGGGGTACCCCCTAAACCATGGGGTCCCAGGGAGGCTCTAGGTCACCCCCTAAACCTTTGGGGTCACCCCTGAGCCTGTGGGGTCACAGGGGAGCTGTGGGTCACCCCCTAAACCTGTGGGGTCACCCTTAAACGTGTGGGGTCACAGGGGGGACTCTGGGTGACCCCATGAACATGTGGGGTCCCAGGGGAGCTGTGGGTCACCCCCTAAATCTGTGGGGTCACCCCTGAGCCTGTGGGGTCACAGGGGATGGTCTGGGGGGCTCTGGGTGACCCCGAGGTCCCAGGGGGGCTCTGGGTGACCCCTAAACCCGTGGGGTCCCAGGGGGGCTCTGGGTGACCCCGAGGTCCCAGGGGGGCTCTGGGTGACCCCTAAACCCGTGGGGTCCCAGGGGGGCCCTGGGGGACCCCTAAACCCGTGGGGTCCCAGGGGGGCTCTGGGTGACCCCGAGGTCCCAAGGGGGCTCTGGGTGACCCCTAAACCCGTGGGGTCCCAGGGGGGCTCTGGGTGACCCCGAGGTCCCAAGGGGGCTCTGGGTGACCCCTAAACCCGTGGCGTCCCAGGGGGCTCTGGGTGACCCCGAGGTCCCAGGGGGGCTCTGGGCGACCCCGAGGTCCCAGGAGGGCTCTGGGTGACCCCGGGGTCCCCGGGACACCCCCAGGCCGATGTGGGGGTGCTGAGCGCGGTCGGGAGGGCCGGGACGCGGCCAGGGTCCCTCCCCGGAGTGCTGCGGCGGGGGTCCGGGGGGGCTGTCCCCCCTACAGGTTCTTGGTGACCAGGTGTGTTTTGTAGTGCTTGGTCAGGTGGTCGGAGCGCATGAAGCGTTTCTGGCACTGCGCGCACTCGAAGCGTTTGTCACCTGCGGGAGAGGGGACGCTCAGGGGGACACCTGGGGCACCCGCAGGGACAGCCAGGCCAGGCCAGGGAGCTGGGGACACCCCCAGGGCATGTCCCCGTTAAACCTGTCACCAGAGACCCCCAAAACCCTCCAGTGTCCCCAGAACCCAGGGAGAACCTGCCCAGGTCATCCCAGTGGCTCCCAAGGGGGTGGTGACACCCCCAGGACATGTCCCCATGGTGTCCCCGTTAAACCTGTCACCAGAGACCCCCCAAAACCCTCCAGTGTCCCCAGAACCCAGGGAGGACCTGCCCAGGTCATCCCAGTGGCTGCTGGGGTGGGGTGCCCATCCCCTTCCTGTCCCCACAGACCCCCCAAACCCCCCAGCCCCTCCCAGAATGCAGGGACAAGCTGCCCAGGTCATCCCAGTGGCTGCTGGGGTGGGGTGCCCATCCCCTTCCTGTCCCCACAGACCCCCCAAACCCCCCAGCCCCTCCCAGAATGCAGGGACAAGCTGCCCAGGTCATCCCAGTGGCTGCTGGGGTGGGGTGCCCATCCCCTTCCTGTCCCCACAGACCCCCCAAACCCCCCAGCCCCTCCCAGAATGCAGGGACAAGCTGCCCAGGTCATCCCAGTGGCTGCTGGGGTGGGGTGCCCATCCCCTTCCTGTCCCCACAGACCCCCCAAACCCCCCAGCCCCTCCCAGAATGCAGGGACAAGCTGCCCAGGTCATCCCAGTGGCTGCTGGGGTGGGGTGCCCATCCCCTTCCTGTCCCCACAGACCCCCCAAACCCCCCAGCCCCTCCCAGAATGCAGGGACAAGCTGCCCAGGTCATCCCAGTGGCTGCTGGGGTGGTGTCCCCATCCCCTTCCTGTCCCCACAGACCCCCCAAACCCTCCAGCCCCTCCCAGAATCCAGGGACAAGCTGCCCAGGTCATCCCAGTGGCTGCTGGCGTGGTGACACCCCCAGGACATGTCCCCTTGATGTCCCTTCCTGTCACCACAGACCCCCCAAAACCCTCCAGTGTCCCCAGAACCCAGTGACAACCTGCCCAGGTCATCCCAGTGGCTGCTGGCGTGGTGACACCCCCAGGACATGTCCCCATGGTGTCCCCATCCCTTCCCAGGACACCTCTGTCACCCGAGCAGCAGAGACCCCCCAAAATCCTCCAATGCCCCCCAAAACCCCAACCCCAGACACAACTCGGGGGGTCCCATCCTCCCAGGGCTCCAGGGTGGGATTTGGGGAGGGGTCCTTGGGAATGGGGGATAGATATCTTGGGATATCCCAGATGTGTTTGGGGGTGCTGCCCTGGGATGGGGGACAGATATCCTGGGATATCCCAGATGTGTTTGGGGGTGCTGCCCTGGGAATGGGGGACAGATATCCTGGGATATCCCAGCCCTGTTTCGGGGTGCTGCCCTGGGAATGGGGGACAGATATCCTGGGATATCCCAGATCTGTTTGGGGGTGCTGCCCTGGGAATGGGGGACAGATATCCTGGGATATCCAGATCTGTTTGGGGGTGCTGCCCTGGGAATGGTGAATATCCCAGCCCTGTGTGGGGGTTCCTTGGGAACAGGGACCCTGCAGGGATACCCAGCCCTACTGGGGGCTCTGCCCCGGGCACAGGGGGTACCCGGGGGTGCAGACCTGTGTGGGGACTCTGCCCCAGGCACAGGGGGTAACCCAGCCCTACTGGGGGCTCTGCCCCAGGCACGGGGGATACCCCAGGGATACCCCAGCCCTACTGGGGGCTCTGCCCCGGACAGAGGGGGTACCCCAGCCCTGTGTGGGGGCTCTGCCCCGGGCACAGGGGGTACCCGGGGGTGCAGACCTGTGTGGGGGCTGTGCCCCGGGCACAGGGGGTACCCCAGGGATACCCCAGCCCTACTGGGGGCTGTGCCCCGGGCACAGGGGGTACCCCAGCCCTACTGGGGGCTGTGCCCCAGGCACAGTGGGTACCTCAGGGATACCCCAGCCCTACTGGGGGCTGTGCCCCGGGCACAGGGGGTACCCACAGGGGGTAGCCACAGGGGGTGCAGACCTGTGTGCGTGCGCGCGTGCCGCTGCAGCTCGTCGGAGCGCGTGAAGCGCTTGCCGCAGAACACCCAGTTGCACACGAAGGGCCGCTCGCCCGTGTGCAGCCGCACGTGCGCCCGCAGCAGCGACGTCTTGCGGAACGTCCGCCCGCACTCGGGGATGTGGCAGATGTGCTTCTTCTTCCCGGGATCACCCGGCCTGCGGGGAGAGGCGAGCTCAGCCCGACGGGAGCCCCAGCCCTACTGGGGGCTGTGCCCCGGGCACAGGGGGTACCCACAGGGGGTAGCCGGGGGTGCAGACCTGTGTGCGTGCGCGCGTGCCGCTGCAGCTCGTCGGAGCGCGTGAAGCGCTTGCCGCAGAACACCCAGTTGCACACGAAGGGCCGCTCGCCCGTGTGCAGCCGCACGTGCGCCCGCAGCAGCGACGTCTTGCGGAACGTCCGCCCGCACTCGGGGATGTGGCAGATGTGCTTCTTCTTCCCGGGATCGCCCGGCCTGCGGGGAGAGCCGAGCTCAGCCCGACGGAGCCGGAGGGATGAACCGCGCCGGGTTACACCCGGGAGAGGGGGAGGGATGAACCGTGCCGGGTTACACCCGGGAGAGGGGGAGCGGGAGGGATGAACCGCACGGGTTAGAGCCGGGAGAGGGGGAGCAGGAGGGATGAACCGCGCCGGGTTAGACCCGGGAGAGGGGGAGCCGGAGGCACGAACGGCGCCGGGTTACACCCGGGAGAGAGGGAGCGGGAGGGACGAACCGCGCTGGGTTAGACCCGGGAGAGGGGGAGCAGGAGGGATGAACCGCGCCGGGTTAGACCCGGGAGAGGCAGAAACAGAGGGATGAACCGCGCCGGGTTAGAGCCGGGAGAGGGGAAGCAGGAGAGATAAACCGCTCCGGGTTATTCCGGGAAAGGTGGAGCCGGAGCGATGAGCCACGCCCGGGACAGGCGGGGCCGGAGGGATGAACCCCTCTGGTTAGCCCGGGAGAGGCGGATCCAAGCGGGACGAGCCACTCCCAGGAGAGGCGGATCCGGAGGGATGAACCGCTCTGGGTTAAACCCGGGACAGGCGGATCCGGAGGGATGAACCGCTCTGGATTAAACCCGGGACAGGCGGATCCGGAGGGATGAACCGCTCTGGGTTAAACCCGGGACAGGCGGATCCGGAGGGATGAACTGCTCTGGGTTGTTCCGGGAGAGGCGGGGCCGGAGGGATGAGCCACGCCCGGGAGGGGCGGATACAGAGGGATAAACCGCTCTGGGTTAGACCCGGGACAGGCAGAGCAGGAGGGATGAACCGTTCTGGGTTAAACCCGGGACAGGCGGATCCGGAGGGATGAGCCACGCCCGGGAGAGGCAGATACAGAGGGATAAACCGCTCTGGGTTAGACCCAGGACAGGCGGATCCCAGCGGGATGAACGGCTCTGGGTTAAACCCGGGACAGGCGGATCCGGAGGGATGAGCCACGCCCGGGAGAGGCGGATCCCAGCAGGATGAGCCCTTCCCACTCTCAGAACCCACCGCTTGTCGCCGTCCTTGCAGTTGGGGCAGGTGCAGGCCATCCTCCTCCTCTTCTCGCCCGGCTGGATGTCCCCGGACAGCGCCTGCTCCATCTGCAGCTGGATCTGGGTGGGGCTCAGCCCGCTGATGGTCACGTTGTTGCCGGACACGTTCTGCACCGTCAGCTGCTGCTGGCCTGGGGAGAAGGGAAGAGGGACAGTCAGGCTCCGTCCATGCTTCTCCCATTCCTCTGGAGCAGGGAATAGCCCGAACTGATCCCCACATGCAGCACAGCCCCCTCTGCCACGCGCCTCTCCCGGTAAGTCCCTTTTTTCTGAATATACTGTGCGGTTTTTCAAAGTTTTCAAAAAAGTTTTCGACCCTTTTAGGGGGGCGGGGAAAAAAAAGGGCTCAAAGAGGAAACAAAAAAAGAAACTTTGAAAAAACGTGCAATATATTGAGCAAAAAAACGGGACTTACCCAGCAGCCTAAGGGCCGCTCCAGGCTCGGGCGTCCCGGGCAGCCGCGACAGGCGCTGCAAAGAAGAAGACGGGGTCAGCGTCAGCAAGCGGGGTCGGGATTGGGATTGGGATTGGGATTGGGATTGCTGCTCCCAGGGCAGCAGCAGGACGAGGAGGAGGAGGGGAAGGACAAGGGTTGGCAGCAGAGGCAGCAGGGAGGGAGGGAGAGCAGGCAGAGCGAGGAGCCGGCAGGGAAGCGCCAAGGCAGGGATGGAGCAGGGGGAATGTCCCGGCTGAGCCCGGCTCGGCTCGGCACGCCCGCGGGCAGCACGTCCTGCCCGTCCCCTCCACGGTAATTGGAGTGTCTAATTAAATCCGACCCCCCCCTCCAAAGGCAGTCCTGGGAGGGCAGCAGAGTGGGAATTCTGCTGACGCCTGGCGAGGAGGAGCAGAGTGCCGGGGCACAAAGGGCCGGGCTGATCTCAGCCCCGAGGTAAAAGTGCCCGCACACACGGCTCCCTCCCTCGGCTCCCGGGGACAGGGCTGGCCCTGGACGGGGACAGGGTGGCTGCAGGGACGTGACACTCCTGGGACTGGGAGCACCGGGCCCTGCCCGGCTGGTTTGGGGTTCAGGGAGAGCCCTGGAGTGAGGGGTTCACTCCCTGGAGGGGTTCACTCCTGGAATGGTGACCCCTGGAGTGAGGGGTTCACTCCTGGAATGGTGACCCCTGGAGTGAGGGGTTCACTCCTGGAATGCTGACCCCTGAAGTGAGGGGTTCACTCCTGGAGTGAGGGGTTCACTCCTTGGAGTGAGGGGTTCACTCCTTGGAATGGTGACCCCTGGAGTGAGGGGTTCACTCCTGGAATGGTGACCCCTGGAGTGAGGGGTTCACTCCTGGAATGGTGATCCCTGGAGTGAGGGGTTCACTCCTGGAGTGAGGGGTTCACTCCTGGAGTGAGGGGTTCACTCCTGGAATGCTGATCCCTGGAGTGAGGGGTTCACTCCCTGGAGTGAGGGGTTCACTCCTGGAATGCTGATCCCTGGAGTGAGGGGTTCACTCCTGGAGTGAGGGGTTCACTCCCTGGAATGGTGACCCCTGGAGTGAGGGGTTCACTCCTGGAGTGAGGGATTCACTCCTGGAATGCTGATCCCTGGAGTGAGGGGTTCACTCCTGGAGTGAGGGATTCACTCCTGGAATGCTGATCCCTGAATGTGGAGCTGGAAATCCCTGAATGTGGAGCTGGGTGTGTGAATGTGCCTCTCCTGGCTTTGGGAGCTTGGGAGAGCTCGTTCCCAGGGGTGCAGAGGATGTTCCAGGGGATGGGGATCTGGAATGGGATCTGGAATGGGATCCAAGGGAGATGTTCCAGCCCCAGGAAACCTCAGGTGCTTCCTGCAGCTTGGCACGGCCGGGTTGGGCAGGCAGCCATCCCTGTCACCCACAGCTCTCCAGGATGTGCTTGGAGTCACCCAGAGACACTCTGGGAAACACTCCTGGCTTGTGGGAGCGACTGCAGAACGTGCTGACACTGCAGAGCCCCTGGGGGCACGAGGGATCAGATCTGATCTGATCTGGGGACATCCCATCTTTGGGAAGCTCGGGGAGCTGCCCACTGGCCCTGTCCCCCTCAGGAGCACGAGGGATCTGACCTGATCTGATCTGACCAAGGGGGGATTCCATTGCACATTCCCATCCTGAGGAAGCTCAGGGAGCTGCCCACCATCCCTGTCCCCCTCAGCAGCACAAGGGATCTGTTTTAATCTGATCTGATCTGTGTTGATCTGATCTGATCTGGGGACATCCCATCCTCGGGAAGCTCGGGGAGCTGCCCACCGTCCCTGTCCCCCTCAGGAGCACGAGGGATCTGTTTTAATCTGATCTGATCTGTTTTAAGGACATCCCATCATCAGGAAGCTCAGGGGGCTCAGGGAGCTGCCCACTGTCCCTGTCCCCCTGAGGAGCACGAGGGATCTGATCTGATCTGGTGAGGATTTCCTTGCACATTCCCCTCCTCGGGAAGCTCAGGGAGCTGCCCACCGTCCCTGCCCCCTGAGGAGCACAAGGGATCTGATTTAATCTGATCTGATCTGCTCCAGGGGAAATTCCATTGCACATTCCCATCCTTGGGAAGCTCAGGGAGCTGCCCACTGTCCCTGTCCCCCTGAGGAGCACGAGGGATCTGATTTAATCAGATCTGACCTGTTTTAGTGCTCTCCCCTCCTCGGGAAGCTCAGGCAGCTGCCCACTGTCCCTGTCCCCCTGAGGAGCACGAGGGATCTGTTTTAATCCGATCTGACCTGTTTTAGTGCCCTCCCCTCCTCGGGAAGCTCAGGCAGCTGCCCACCCCCTGCCACCCGTCCCGCCGTGTGCCACCCACCTGCGCTGTTGGTGATGGTGACGGGCACGCCCTGCACCTGCACGCCGTTGATGTTGATGGTCTGCATGGCCTGCGCAGCCGCCGCCAGCTGCGCCGCGCTCAGGCTCAGGATTCCCCCGGCGGGGGCGATCTTGGGCAGCGGCCGCTCCTTGCGCGGGGCCGCCCTGCGGCCGGGCCCGGGGCTGCCGCAGGACGCGCCCGGCGCCGGGGCCACCGGCAGCGAGGAGGCCTCCTGCAGCAGCACGGTCTGCAGCTCGCCAGACGGCGTCTTGAAGTAAACCTGCGGGGGAGCAGGGAGCACAGGTGGGCTTCGGGGCGCTGGGTGGGGTTGGCTTGGTGGTTTGGGTTGCTGGTTTGGCTCGGTGGGGTTTTGGAGGTTGTTTTAGCTTCCTTCTGCTGGGCTTGGACGCTCGCAGGGATGGGGAAGTCACAGCTTGTCTGGGAAATGCAGGCCAGCCCCACCCGCACTGGGAAGTGAATCTGGGCCTCTGCGGGACCCCTGGGCAAAGGAGAAAGCTCCTGGGTTTTGCACAAGGCAACACAAAGGCACCAACGCCTCTCCCACCTCCCGTGGTGACACAGGAGCTCCCAGCAGGCTGGCTCATCCCAGCCCCAGCTCTGGCACACTGAGCTCCTCCATATCCTATAACAGCAGCTGGAGCTCCTAAATCCCTGCAGAGGGCATGGCTGCACCCCCAACCTCCACTGAGCAACGCCTAAAGCAAGCTCCAAACTGGGAATATCTCACAAAACCCCCCAGCTCCTCAATCCTGGGGGAGAACCAGAGGAGAACAGTTCCTAAATCCCTGCAGAGGGCATGGCTGCACCCCCAACCTCCACTGAGCAACGCCTAAACCAAACTCCAGACTGGGAATGTCTCACAAAACCCCCCAGCTCCTCAATCCTGGGGGAGAACCAGAGGAGAACAGTTCCTAAATCCCTGCAGAGGGAAAGGCTGCACTCCCAACCTCCAAGAATCCACTGAGCAACGCCTAAACCAAACTCCAGACTGGGAATGTCTCACAAAACCCCCCAGCTCCTCAATCCTGGGGGAGGATCAGAGAGGAACAACAGTTCCTAAATCCCTGCAGAGGGCATGGCTGCACTCCCAACCTCCACTGAGCAACGCCTAAACCAGACTCCAAACTGGGAATGTCTCACAAAACCCCCCAGCTCCTCAATCCCGGGTGAGAACCAGAGGAGAACAGTTCCTAAATCCCTGCAGAGGGCATGGCTGCACTCCCAACCTCCACTGAGCAACGCCTAAACCAGACTCCAAACTGGGAATGTCTCACAAAACCCCCCAGCTCCTCAATCCCGGGTGAGAACCAGAGGAGAACAGCAGGGAGCAGATTCCAAGGAGGCCGTACCTGGGTGGGGGTGGGCTCGGCCGCCTGGATCTGGAAGTTCTGGGAGGGTTTCTGGGGCACGGTGGGCAGCGTGGCCGAGGCCGCCTGCACCACGCGCAGCGCCTGCTGCGGGATCTGCACCACCTGCGACTCCTGCTTGGGCTGCACCACCTGCACCTGCTGCACCACGGCCGGCTGGCCCGAGCCGGGGCTCTGCACGATCAGCAGGTTGTTGCCAGCCTGGATGATGTTCTCGGCCGTGGTCTCGATCAGCACCGTCTCCACCTGCTCGGCCACGGCCACGGCGGCGGGCTGCCCGGGGGACGGCGCCTTTTTGCGAGGCTTCTTGCCGGCTTTGGAAGGGCTGTCCGTGAGCAGCTGGGCCTGCCCGGCCTCGGGGCTCACCAGGTTGTTGACGGGCAGGGTCAGGGTGACGTTGCCACCCCCGGGCAGTTTGACCACGCCGGCCGATCCCGATCCCGCCGCCTTCTGCGCCGGGGCCGGCTTGATGGGCACGGGCTTGTGAGAGGAAGAGGAGGGCGTGAGGATGGCCTGGTTGGTGCCTGGGATGATCTGGATCTGGTTAGGCTGCACCTGGATGGTCTGAGCCCCGCCGGGCTGCAGCTGCGGCACCGCCTGGTACTGGATGTTGGAGGAGGAAGACGAGGAGGACGAGGAGGAGGACGAGGAGGAGGAGGAGGAGCGCGAGCCTTTGTTGAGCACGGCCGCGTTCTGGATGGCGAAAACCAGCTGCCCCCCGGGGTAGGAGGCGCCCACCTGGGAGCCCTGGATCTGGAAGAGGTTCCCCTTGGAGGACAGGATGCCGATGCTGCTCTTGGCCGAGCCCAGGGGCAGCGGCGCGGGTTTGATGGGCACCAGCTTGCGAGGGGCGGGCTGCGGAGGCGCCGGCGGCGCGGCGGCGGCTTCCACGGCGGGGGGACCGATCTTGCTGCATGTGGCCGCCAGCAGGGCCAGGGGAGAGGGCTGGGAGTCCTGGGGGAGAGAGGGCAGTCAGCGCCAAGCACCCGCAGGAACAGCTGGCCACGCAGCCCTGATTAAGGGAGCCGATTAATGAGCCGCGCGTGGCGGAGTTCCCCGATAAACGAGTTGGGAAAGGATCTCTGGGATTGCCCATTCTGACCTGGGGGACGCTTCGTCACACCCAGCGTGGCACTGAGGGCCACCTGCAGTCTCTCCTTAAACACCCCCAGGTGACTCCATCACCTTTCTGGGCAGATCATCCCAGTTCCCAATTTTTCTGTGAAGGAATTCCTGCTGATGTCCAGCTCCCAGTGCTTTCAGCAGTGGTGACATTTGAAATCCCATCCCTGTGTCCCTAAATCCTTTTAAACCCCATCCTTGTGTCCTTAAAACCACCCTAAAGCTTGAAACATTCCTAAAGCTTGAAACCATCCTTAAAACCATCCTTAAAACCATCCTAAAGCTTGAAACCACCCTTAAACCACCCTAAAGCTTGAAACCACCCTTGAAACCATCCTTAAAACCACCCTAAAGCTTGAAACCATCCTTAAAACCATCCTAAAGCTTGAAACCATCCTTAAAACCATCCTTAAAACCACCCTAAAGCTTGAAACCATCCTTAAACCACCCTAAAGCTTGAAACCACCCTTAAACCACCCTAAAACTTGAAACCAACCTTGAAACCATCCTTAAAACCACCCTAAAGCTTGAAACCATCCTTAAAACCATCCTAAAGCTTGAAACCATCCTTAAAACCATCCTAAAGCTTGAAACCATCCTTAAAACCGTCCTAAAACTTGAAACCACCCTTAAACCACCCTAAAGCTTGAAACCATCCTTGAAACCATCCTTAAAACCATCCTAAAGCTTGAAACCATCCTTAAAACCATCCTAAAGCTTGAAACCACCCTTAAACCACCCTAAAGCTTGAAACCACCCTTAAACCACCCTAAAGCTGCGGACATCCTGGGAACTTCCCGGGATTCCCCCTTGGAACATCACAGGCAGCTCAAATCCCACTACCTCGATATCCCAACATCAGAGATGCTCGGGGGGCAGGAACAACAGCGGGCTCAGGAGTGGGGACGAGCCCCCCCAGAGGCTGCAGGGGCTGTCCTGCCCCCCAGGAGGGGCTGGGCTCACCTGGGCGGCGGCGGCGGTGGCGGCGGGCTGCAGGTATTCACTGGGGCTGACAGCAGCAGTGGCAGCCATGCTGTCCCTCGAGCTGTGGGGACAGAGCAGGGAGGGATCAGCTCCTCAGGGAGCCCAGCCCAAGGCTCTGACCCCAAGGGATCTGCCTGGTGTCCCCCAAAGTCCCCCCAAAACCATCCCACCTCACGCTGCGGGGCTGCCCCCCACGCTGCATCACCTCCTCCCCGGGGTTTGGTCTTTGTATGGTTCCCAAGGGAAACCCCAAGGAGCATTCCTGGGTTTCCCTCGTTTTCCTGGATTCCAGCACAGCTCCCCAAAATTGGCAGGGCCCAACTTCAAAGCTGGTGGGCCCAGAGAGCCGAGATCTCCCCGGCTCCGACCAAAATCTTCCCAGCCCCAAATCTTCCCATTCCCGGCCCCAAATCTTCCCATTCCTGGCCTGAAAATCTTCTTGTTCACAACCCTGAATCTTCCCAATCCCAGCCCCAAATCTTCCCAGTCCCAGCCCCAAATCTTCCCAATTCCAGCCCTAAATCTTCCCATTCCTGGCCTGAAAATCTTCTTGTTCACAGCCCTGAATCTTCCCAGCCCCAAATCTTCCCAATCCCAGCCCCAAATCTTCCCAATCCCAGCCCCAAATCTTCCCATTCCTGGCCTGAAAATCTTCTTGTTCACAGCCCTGAATCTTCCCAGTCCCAGCCCCAAATCTTCCCAATCCCAGCCCCAAATCTTCCCAATTCCAGCCCTAAATCTTCCCATTCCTGGCCTGAAAATCTTCTTGTTCACAACCCTGAATCTTCCCAATCCCAGCCCCAAATCTTCCCAGTCCCAGCCCCAAATCTTCCCATTCACAGCCTGAAATCTTCTTGTTCCCAGCCTGAAATCCTCCCAGTTCCACCCAGAAATCTTCCCAGTCCCAGCCTGAAATCTTCTTGTTCCCAGCCTGAAATCCTCCCAGTTCCTCCCTGAAATCTTCTTCCTCACAGCCCCAAGTTTTGCCATTCCCAGCCTGAAATATTCTCGTTTTTTGGGGATTCTGAGTGGCTGTTCCCTCCCCTCCATCGGAATTTAGGGCAGAGCTGAGGATCAACAGCCCCGAGTGCGAATCCGAGCGGGGCTGAGCCAGCCTGGGAGGAGCCAGATCCCGGCCAGGGAGATCCCATTTTTCTGGAGAAATCCCATTTTTCTGGAGAAATCCCATTTTCCCTGGAAAAATCCCCTTTTCCCTAGAGAAATCCCATTTTCCCAGAAAAATAAATTGGGACATTAATGCCCGGTGTGATCCTTCCGTGTGTTTCACTCGTGGTGAAGCAGAGCCCCCTAAATCTGGGAACCATCCCAAACCCCACCAGGGGAATTTGGGAACCATCCCGAACCCCACCAGGGGAATGAATCCCAAGGAAATGAATCCCATAAGGACAAACAGCCCAAATCCCACAGGGAAAACAAATCTCATGAGAGAAATCTGGGAATCATCCTGAATCCAACCAGGAAAAACAGCCCAAATCCCATCAGGGCAGTGAATCCCATAAGGAAATTTGGGAATCATCCTGAATCCCATAAAAGAAATTTGGGAATCATCCTGAATCCCATCAGAGAAATCTGGGAACCATCCCAAATCCCATCAGGGGAATAAATCCCAAAAGGAAATTTGGGAACCATCCCGAATCCCATCAGGGGAATAAATCCCATAAGGAAATTTGGGAACCATCCTGAATCCTATAAAGGAAATCTGGGAACCATCCCAAATCCCATTAGGGGAATGAATCCCACCAGAAAATTTGGGAACCATCCTGAATCCCATAAAGGAAATTTGGGGACCATCCCGAATCCCCCGGAGCCCGGAACCCCCAGCCCAGTGAACCCCCCAAGAGCCCCAACTGGATCCCGCAGGGGGACCCGGCCCGAATCCTTCCCCAAATCCCCAAAAACCGGGGGCAGCCTCCCCCAGACCTGGCCCCGGCCCCGCTGCCCCGGAGCATCCCCGGGACCCCCGAGGCGCCCCCGCCACCCCCGGGCCGGGCTGAGGCGGCGACCCCCGGGGTCCCCCCACAGCCCCGGGGTCCCCCCACAGCTCCTGGGGGTCCCCTCAGCTCCCGGAGGGTTCCCTCAGCTCCCGGGGGTCCCTCAACCCAGGGGTTCCCTCAGCTCCCGGGGTCCCCCCACAGCTCCGGGGTTCCCCCACAGCTCCCGGGGTCCCCTCAGCTCTGATGTCCCCTCAGCTCCCGGGGGTCCCCTCAGCTCCCGGGGTCCCCCCACAGCTCTGGGGGTCCCCTCAGCTCGGGGGGTCCCCTCAGCTCCGGGGGTCCCCTCAGCTCCCGGTTCCCCTCAGCTCCCGGGGTTCCCCCTCAGCTCCGGGGGTCCCCTCAGCCCCGGGGTCCCCTCAGCCCCGGGGGTCCCTCAACCCCGGGGTCCCCTCACCTCCGAGGGTCCCCTCACCTCCGGGGGTCCCCTCAGCTCCGGGGGTCCCCTCAACTCTGATGTCCCCTCAGCTCCCGGGTCCCCTCACGGGTCGCTCCCCGCCCCGGCGGCCCCGCAGAGGCCGCGGCCCGGCCCCGCTCCCCCCGCACTGACCGGCCGGGGGCGGCGGCGGCTCCGACCCGCTCACGGCGCCATCTTCCTCCGCCGGGCACCGCCCTGCTGCGCCCGCCCCCAGAGAGGGTTTGGACCAATCGCCGCCCGGCTGCTTTGCGATCTGGCCAATGGGCGGTGAGATGGTGGAACGGCGGCCAATCCGCGGAGGGATAAAGGTTGATGGGCAGCTGCGCCGAGCAGTAAAGATAGTGATGGAGGGATGGCTCCGCCAATGGGAGCGGAGCGCTGAGGTGACGGACGGCAGTGGAGAGCCAATACCACGGGAGATCTCTGATTGACAGCACAGAGAACCAATGGGCGCAAGCACAGCCTGTGCCCATCCGCTGTTTGATTGACAGGTCTTCAAGTGGGAGGACTCCCTCATGGGCGTGACCCGCCCAAAACACTCCTTATCATTGGTCGCAATGATTTGATTGCCATATCGACAAACCAATGGAAAGCGCGCCGCGGACTAGCTGCGCTTGTGATTGGCGGAGGGGGAGTCCGAACGGTTGAAGCCGGATGACGTCAGGGGGTCCCCGGCGGGTGGGGAGTCCCGGGGATCCCCCTCGCCCCCCCCCCCGCACCGGAGGCACCCCGGGGTGGGCGGGGAGGGGATGCGGGGGTGCCGCGGGACGGGGGGACACGGCCGGGAGGGGACACGGCGGGTTTGGGGACACAGAGGGTTCGGGGGGTCCCTGCCGAGCCTGGGGTGCCCCCGCTCCCCCCAGGCCTCAGCGGGAGGGGGGGTCCCCAACCCCTCCCCGAACTCGGGGTGCTCACAGAGGGTTCGGGGGGTCCCTGCCGAGCCTGGGGTGCCCCGCTCCCCCCAGGACTCAGCGGGAGGGGGGTCCCCAACCCCTCCCAGAACTCGGGGTGCTCGGGGGGGCTCAGTGTCCCGCCGGGGTTCCCTGAGAGGTGGGGTCTCGAATCCCCTCGCAGATTTTGGGGTTCAGCGCGCTTGGAGGCTTTTGGGGTGTTCAAGGCGCTAGAAGGGATGGGGGTCCCCAATCCCCTTGGAAATTTGGGGGGCTCAGGGCGCTTGGGGAGCTTGGGGGTGTTCAGGCCGCCAGAAGAGCCAGGGGTCCCCAATCCCCTTGCAGAATTGGGGTCCCCAAAAGCGACGGGCATCCCCAAAGCCGGGCCGTGCTCAGCATCCCTCCGGGGGTCACCCCCACCACCCCATCCCCCCCTCCTGGGGGGGTCCCTCACCCTCCCCGCGGCCCCCGGGACCCTCTCAGCGCTGCCGGCCCGGGGGTCCCGGGGGTCCCGGGGGTGCCCAGGCGGCTCCAGCCCCCACGGCCCCGGCAGCTCCCGCTGGAGCCAAATAATTGCCGGTGCTTTGTTGTGCCGTGTCTGTGGCCGCGGGGCCTCCATTTGCGGGCAGCCGCCGCTCCCCGCCCGCCCTGCCCGCTCCGCTTACTCACCGACCCCCCAAAAACCACCCCGGGCTCCGGGGGAGCCGCCCCCGGCCTGCCCCGCCCGGCCGGGGGGTCGCGGGGTTCGGGGACACCGGGACCGGCCCGCGGTGCTGGCCCTGCGACACCGAGAGGGACACGGAGCTGCGGGGACAGCCGGGTGGCATTGTCACCCCCCTGTGGGGACATCCCACGTGGCACTGCCACCCTCCAGGGAGGGGACACCGGGTGGGGACCCCGAGCAGGGGTCCAGGGGGTCCCCGCGGGCTCAGCCGGGGCTGGCGGGGAGGGAGGGGACAGGGTGGCCCCCCCGGGTGGGACAGCTTGTAGGGACAAGTCACAGCCTGTCGCTGCTGGCCCCGTCCCTGTCCCCGTCCCTGTCCCCCCTGTCCCTGTCCTGTCCCCGCTGTCCCGCTGTCCCCATCCCTGTCCCTGTCCTTGTCGCTGTCCCCATCCCTGTCCCTCTCCCCGCTGTCTCCCCGCCCCCCTGTCCTGTCCCCATCCCTGTCCCCATCCCTGTCCCCGCTGTCGCTGTCCCCTCCCGCCGGAGCCGTTCCGGTTTCCCCAGGCCCTGACTGACAGCCGGGCGCAGATACGGCAGCGAGATTAGCACGGGACTAATTAAAACTCCAATTAAAAATCGTGCTGAGCCGTGCTCCGAGCTCCGCGGCCGAGGTCGAGCCCCGGCAGCAATTCCGGCTCCGCGGAGGAAACGCCGCCCGCGGGCACGCCGAGACCCGGGCGGGGCAGCCCGGTCGCGATAATCGCGACAGAGATCTCTGCCAGGCCGGCGGGGAGCGGGTGGGCAGCGCCGTGCCAGCTGTGCCAGCTGTGCCAGCGGTGCCAGCTGTGCCAGCGGTGCCAGCCGTGCCAGCTGTGCCCGCGCTCCGTCCTTGTCCCGCGGTGGCACCGCTGGGGGACGGGGAGGGGGCGGTGTCCTGGGGGGACCGTGACACCCCCGTGGGGACCGGGACACCCCCGTGGGCACCGTGACACCCCCCTAGGACCGTGACACCCCCCTAGGACCGTGACACCCCCATAGGGGCGGTGACCCCCCCCCCAGGACCGTGCCCACCCCGCAGCCCGTGCCCGCCCGGTGCCACCACCATCCCTCCCTGACCTGGCGCTGTCCCCACGGTGCCACCTGCAGCAGTCCCGGGTCCCCCGCGGGCTCGGCAGGTTCACCGCCACCCCCGCGTCACCCCCCCCGGGGCCGTCTGGGCGTGGGGCCCCCCCAAAAGCCGCGGGGAGGAGCGGGCCAGCTCCGCCTGTGCCCGTCTGAGGCACCCCCGGGGTGTCCCCTGGGGACGGGGCGGCCCAGACGGCGCAGCCCCCCGGCACAGCCCCCCCCGGGCACCCCGAGTGCGTGACCGGCCCCCCCCAGCGTGGGGCGGCGCGCAGGGACGTGCTCGGGGAC